GAGATTAGTGGCTGTCAACTTGAAGAAGTCGACGGTTTCAAATACCTCGGAGTGAGGTTGCTGCCGAATGGACAGAACTAAGATGACATCATTTCCCGAACTGACGCAGCAAGACGAGTTTTCTCCAGCCTCTGGAAATACCTATGGACCCGACGCGATATCTCGATTTCCACAAAAATCCGCGTTTACTGTGCATCTGTGAGGTCTGTTTTCCTATACAGATGCGAATGTTGGGCTATGTGCGTGGAACATGAACGGAAGCTGGACGTCTTTGACCACTACTGTCTCAGGAGCATCCTTCGAGTGAAGTACACCGACTTCGTCTGAAATGAGACAGTCCGCACTCGCTGTGACAAAATCAAGAGGATATCTCAGGCCATTCAGGAAAGACCACTGAGGTGGTTTGGAGACGTTCTTCGTCGTCAACCTCAAGAGTTCAGTGCTACTGCCCTTACCTAATTGGAAACGTCGAAGAGAGAGTCAACTCAAAACGTGGCTCGATTAAGTCCGTCAGGACATGGAAGTGGTTCTTGGACCTTCGGTTTTCGGTCTCCGGCGCTGGAGAAGAGACTGGGTAGAGCTCTCAAGATCCTCTGCCGCCAATCGTCATGCATGGAGAGGTGCCATCCGTGACATCATCGAGGCCGGCTAGATCAGACATGATCACAGTCGTAACAAGTAAGTAAGTAATTACAGTAGCTCAGGTGGTTAGAGTACGGGTAGTACTAAAGTCGAACGGATTCAAAAGCCATCGAGGATTTCACAGTTGGGAGAGTTGAACGCCATGCAACTTTTAAGTTTGCGTAAACCCCATTAAAAATGCCAAAGGATAAATTGACGAGCATACGTTTGCTTTCGATAAATTCTCTTCAGACCTGTACATTATACGGTAATTAAATAAATATACTATAAGGGTCGGTAGCAAAAAGGAGTGCGGCTGCGAGGGTGGGTGGGGAGGGAGAGGGATTCAGGTCAATATGTCAGTGTCTGTGGGGACCGGCGGCTGAGACAGGTGATGAGTCGGGTTAGCGACCCCGCACTCCCACCCCCAGAACAACCGCACTACCCTT